AGGTGGACGTGAAGAGCAGGACTGTCACCCATCACCAAAGCGTGGCCCAAACAGGCGGGGGGAGAGGAGAGGATCAGCTCACCCTGTATGAGCAAGGAGTCGCCGCTATTGTTGCTCTCTCTGGGGTGGTGGGAGCACACAGGGGTGACTCGGATCACCCCCAAGGTAATTATATATTGTGTATTTGTGTAGCTCAAATGTATTAATTATACGGGTCATACAATATTCTGCTCACAGCCAAACAAGATACAAGTTCATGCCAGGATATCAAAGACTTTGCCTCATGTTTAATGACTCACTTTATTATTTGGCAACAGACAATGAGGCAGGAGAAGACTGTAAGGCGCAGTCCCAGCCTCGTGCCACAGACCCAGGGGATTCCTCCAGCCTCCCCGGCATCAGCCGATCCTCCGGTCCACCGCAACAGCCAGCTGCTGATGCCCATCTGACCAGCTGTGTCCTCACCCGTGCTGTGCTGGATTCACAGGAGGAAATCGTGAGGGCAATTGGCGGCATTTATGAGCACCTGGACCAATTAATGTCCTTACAGACATTAATAAAACATTAAATATACTTGCCAACAAGTGAATTCTGTGTCCTTGCCTTTTTATATGGTTGATATCACATGTTGCTGGGCCCGAATGGCCTCCCGGGCAGGATTGGCATCGACAAGTACAGCGTCTGTTTCGTCTGGTGGGGGGATGTGCTGCTCTGGCAGTGGGATGGCGTGCCGGTGTGCCATATTGTGGAGGACGTCACATGCCATCACAATGCGGTACACCTTTTCAGGTCTGTAGAGCAGCACACCCCCAGTCCGATCCAGGCAGCGCCATCGCCCCTTCATCATGCTAACTGTCCACTCCACAATTGATCGCGTGCGTGAATGGGCATCATTGTACCTCAGCTTTTGGTCAGTGTGGGGGTTGGTGAGAGGGGTCATCGGCCAGGTTTTTAGTGGATAGCCACGATCACCTGGGGTCAATTAAACACACTCGTCATTAGGTCATTTAACACACCACTAACATGGATCACACACTATAGTGAGTGAATGCAGTTGTGTGCCGGGAAAATGGGAGGCTGATCAAGTCACTTTAAACATTATGCACGTGTTTTTTGACATATGTACTTTACACACAGACAGGGATGGGCTTGTTGGAAAGCACTGAGTCTGTAGTTTTCAGCAGCAAAACAGCAATTCGCTAACTTTAACCACTGACGAGTAATGATGCTGTGAAAACAGGATGATATTCGGGGCGCACGTGCTCAACGCATTTCAGAGGGATTAATATTAGGACAATAAAATGATTTACTCACCAAGAAGCCACCATCCCGCACCATGCAAGCTTGTAGCCTGTTCCCAACCATGCTGTTGGTCAGAATGAATGAATCATGTGTTGATCCAGGCCACCTCGCCACAATGTTACTTAATTGCATTTGCCTGGCTGACATTTGAATAATTCCATCCCACACAGCTGGCATGGCTCGGCTCAGTGTTGACTGGCACAGTCCTGATCGGTCGGCCAGCTCCCTTTGAAATGACCTTGTGGCTAGGAAGCCCAGTGTGGTCAGTACCTGTGTAGGCACAGGTAGGATATGGCTCCTGGGCATGTTGCGCTCCAAAAATGGTTGTAGCTCTGCGCACAGTTGTAAGAGGATAGCCCTCGGGAACCTAAATGAACCAGTCATCGCCCTGAGCCAAAAAAAATCCTCTCAGTCTCTGAAAACCCGTTCTTTTCGCACTGCTCCATTGGCAATATCCTCCAACAGTGCCAAGGCTGCCATTGTTGTTAATGGTAGCTTCTGCACCATTTTTGCATACTGTTATATCCACTAATCTGATTGCAAATTCCTGGGTGTGTTAATTGTTTATCTGTGTATCTCTGATGTGCATATCACTTTGAGGAATGACCAGTCAAGAAGTTGACATGGAGGACCGCACATTTCCACGATCATTTCACTCTTGATACATCTGAACGTGAGCTTGAAAAAGTGCGTACGCTAAGCACCCTTTGTACATGAGGCCCCTGGTCTTTATGGGAAGGAGGTGATTGGGAGCAGGTGAGTCCTGAATTGCAGCTGTGGGTGATTGTGGTTGATTGAGGGCTGAGAGACAGACAGACAGACAGACAGACAGACAGAGGGGCCCAGGCTGGGTGAGGGAGAGAAGAAGAGAAAAAAAGAAGCCAGGCCTTGTGTATATTTTAGCAAAAGAACCAAGAAAAATGACCAATTTTTAACAATATACTGGAAAATAAATGGACACTATACTTTCTGTTCAAACTGAATGTTTTTATACACTGCTACACCCATAAAATTGGAATCATTTTTGTTTTCAGACACATTCCTCTTTTTATTTCTATTTATACAAATCAGTATTCACTTTGACCAGGTTCAATGATCACATACTGAGTCCCAGTTACCAGGTGAGACCAATTCTGACTTCAGGATCTGATTGAAGAGTGGGACGTCCTGCCCATTGACACCATCAACAAGCTGGTGGATAGTATGTCACGATGTCTTAATGCATTGATCCGTGTCAGGGGTGGTCAGATTCAATATTAGTGACTGAGTGACATTTGAAAGAGTAATATTGGACATTCTTATGCATGAAATCCCCTCGAATATGTGTTTCCTGTTATATGACCAAGGTTGAAAAATTGAATCAAAACCCTTAATCCTATTGTTCAGTCCCCCAAAATTTGTTTAAGTCTGAATGCACCGTTTGCAAAAGTTAATTGTGTTTTAATTTTTACTGTAATGTGATGTATTGTGTGTATATTGTGATATCAATACAGTTTTGAGAAGATATACACTTTATCAAGAATAAATCGCATTGTCACAATCATTGCATTAAAAGGAGAAAAAATATTTTATTCCAACTTTATGGTCGACAGTGTCTTAAATGTGCCCCAGAAAGCCCCCATTGTTTTTGAAAACACATGATTTGCAACTTAAGGAGACTAAAGAAGCATTAAAATTTCCTGATCAGCTCTGCTGCTGTACTTTGGGGACGCTGTGGACTTAACACCTCTCTGACCTGACACCTGTGTACCTAACACAGAACTAATAAGGCTCTGGACATTAACCCTGTAGGACTTAAGATCACCTAATTACACAGGATTTGTTTCAGATATTCTCCTGTCCTGTTGGCTGAAGTCAAACTGTCCCATACAATGTCTGAACACTCTGTAGTGCACATGCTCACCTGAAACCTGAGATTACCTCAACCAACATTTTGCCAAAATACACCTAAATAAACTTCTTAGTGAAACATTATTACTCTTTTGAAACATCTTTGTGACCACCACAAGTTTGACCACAGTTTTTGCTCAATTGTATAAGAACTGAGGTGTTTCAAAAACTTTAAGTATTGTGTATTTTGTGTGTGTGTGTGTGTGTGTGTGTGTGTGAGAGTGTGTATTTTTTGTGTATTTTTATTAGTAATTGTAATGAAATCTGCTGACAGTAGCTGCCAGACGCTGAAGCTAAGCATAGCTGCTTATGAAACCTTTTCAAGTCACCAGTTAAGTCTACGTGTGGTGAAAGTTTCCACTCAGATGATTTTGGTGACCTCATGTACTACTGTGTGTACTAGACATTGGACTCTGACCTGTTTTGTGTACTAATTCCCTGTTTATATTTTTAAACACTGAAACTTAGTGAATATACTGATTTAGAAGTATAAATATAAAATACAAAATGGTTATTGACATACTTTTTAAAGCACTATTTTGTCTATGTGGATTATTATTAAGTTTTTTAACAGTGAACTGCTCATTTATGGTCCATACCTTCACTACTTAATGACAGAGTCACAGATGTATTATATTGTAAGCATAATTTTATGCACATTACCCTCTAATGAGCATGATTTGGACTATAGGGTGTTAAAAGACATGAACAATCTTTTTAAAGACTCACAACATGAGAGTGTGTGGTTTAAGAGGTTTCATTTTAACAGTTTATATTAATCTGTGACTTTTTGGTGTACTGGCTAAGATTAAATCAGTCATTAACAAGCCTGATCTTTGACCAGACGACTGAAAAATAAGCCAGAAAAAAACCCAAAAACCACCAACACAGCATAGGTAGAGCAGCTTTGGCCAGAAACCTGATTGACTGAAACCAGTAGAACTATGTTGCTGTGAATTTTCATAAACAAGTCTATGATCATGTCACCATTATTTAAATAGATGTGCAAGCTGAGATTCCATTTTATTTTCCTTTGACAGGAGCTATAACGAAAACCTAAGTGAGGTTCATCTGCAAATTTTATGTTTTCACAGTCAAGCTGAAATAAAGTGGATTGGTTTCACAATCAACTGTCTTTATATAATCACAACATAGTTATACTTGAAGAACAAGCTGGAACTTAAGGTGCATTTTGATTCTATTGTACAATATAACATTTGTTTATTAAAACTCACATTCCTGGACTGAGCAAAATGAAGCCTGAATAAGTGTTTTTTGGGGGGTTTTTTTTAGGCCTAAACAACATTAAAAAGCTCATCTAGCCTCAAAAGCCATATGTATGCTTAGCCTGAAAACTGTGCATGAATTACTCAGAAGCAAATACATGTTTATTGGAATTTAACACGAAGTGTGATTAAGACTTGAGGGAGAGGACAGACACACAAAGCTGATCATTGAGACAGTAAAGTTTTTGTGTTCAAAAACGTGTCTTTCTGCCAAAAGGAAAATAACTGGACCTCCCACCAGTAAGCCAACCTATCCTCACTGTGGTGACTCCACGTCAGGTGTTTGCACTGTTCAGGGACAGATTGTTACGTGATCTTATTGATTTGTCACTTTTAAGGTCTCTTTTTTATCTATAGAGTTATATTCACGTATTTTACTCTGCTTTCATGATGTGTATTTTGTGAGTTTTGTCTTTTCACAGAAATTCTGAACTTTATTATGATTAGTGTTGTGATAGTTCTTGTTCCTAAACAGATGTTTTCTATATTTTCTGCAATTTGCACTGTTTGAAGGAACTGATGATGAAAGCGACACATCCAAGCTGTGAGGACCGGTCTGAGCTGGACTCAGTTGAAGTTGTAGCACCTGAAGAAAACCAAACACACCACAGATGTACTGAGAACTCAGGTTACATATCTTCAGTCCAGAATGGATCGAATATCGTTGCTTTTCTTAAGAAAAATATCTTTGTTGTTCTCACAATGACTGCTGTCGCATTAGGTAAGTAGTTTTCAAACATACATTTTGTTCTCCCATAAAGCCTAGAATGTCTGTTTTAGACTAATGGCACTTTGCTGGTTGCTTGCTTTGTTTGTTTGTTGCTTTCTCCATCACTGCTCTTCGTCTTAGCTCTCCTGCATGTTTTTAACTTGTTCTTTGATAAACATACTGACCTACTGACCTGTGTTTATGTTCCTCTGAGGAATTTGCCTGGGCTTTGCTCTGCGACACATTAAGATGTCAGCGCAAAGTGTAGAATATTTATCTTTTCCTGGAGAGCTGCTGATGAGAGTTCTGCAGATGTTGGTGCTTCCCCTCATTGTTTCCAGTCTGATTACAGGTAGGATTCACAGTTCAGACTGGTTTAACTGGGTTTTCAGATATAATATTAAGTCATTCAGTATTGAAGTTGCTTCCTGATAATAAAGACTCAGTAGGTATACATACAGCAGGTAAACACAATGGAGAGCTCTGCTGGCTGGTGAAAGACTTACCAAGCCTTAAGGCTGCTGACAATGGGGCAGGCTGTATTTAAAGTGGAGGCTCACAAACTGACTGAGACACCTTAAAATTTGATGGCTGTCTCTGTCCATGGTAAAAAAAAAAATAAAAATAATAATAATAAAAAACATTTCAACATTCAAATGAATAAAAATGTGTGAACCCCTCAGTAATGAGATCAACAAAAGATAAGTGACATAAAGAGCCACCAAGCAGAGAAGCAAGATTAGAGTTATGTCTTAAAACTATATTAACTCTCATTTAAATTTTTGGGTTTTACTATTCAGAAGAAATATCTGCTGATGTCAAAATGCCCCACCAAAAAGGTTTGTGGATTTGGTTTAAGCTGGAAAAGGTTACCAAGTAATACCTCAAAGAGTTGAGCGATTGATCAGCCCACAGTTACACAGTTTAGCTACAGCTATAAATGGAGACGGTTTAGCACTGTGACTCGTCTCCCAACAGGTGGTCTCCAGCTTAGATGTCAACAAATTTAGAATCACCCAAACTCCAATACATAACTTTGTTGAAATACTTTTTTGAGAAGTATTCATACCGTTTCCATGTACTTAATGAAAAGAGAACTTAAACATTCATCCTCTAGTGTACAGTAACAGCCTAACAAAACCTTTTGCAATGTTAGAACCAAGATGTCAACCCAACAGATATACTGTCGAAGGGTTTCTCTTTGGACACCCTCAGAATATGATTGAGCTGAAGCAGATCTGTACAGAGAAACAATCCAAATTGTCTCTTTCCTTTTTCTCTCCATATTGTGGAAGTGTCATACAGCTACTGGAAACACTTGTCTGACATCACTAAAGTTTGTGTGTGATTAACTTAAGCACACTGTGTTTGTCTATAATTGTAAATGAAGATCCTATCACAGTTGAATGACATAACCAATTCATCAGAAAAATGGCCAGTTTCAAAGGGTTTGGATACTTTTTCTTAACAGTTTATTGCAACCACTTGTTTTTATTTCAGGCATGTCAACTGTAGACAGAAAGGTTTATGGGAAAATGGGGCTGAGGGCCTTCTGCTATTACATGGTCACTACTGTTATTGCTGCATTCACTGGCATCGCCCTCGCTGTTCTCATCCAGCCAGGGAAATTATTCAGGGACGCCTTAGAGTCCTCTGGTGGTAAAACAGAGACTGTGCAAAGTGTGGATGCTTTTCTGGATCTGATGAGGTGTGTATGAAAGCCTTTCCAGGAAACTGTAATTGTATCCAAGTATTTTTATAAGTAGTATCACTGACAGTTTAAACACCTTGTCTGTGTTTCTGATTTATAGAAACATGTTCCCCTCAAATCTGGTGGAAGCTTGTTTTAGAAAGGTAAGTGCAACAGTGTGAGTCATTCATTTTCACATTTATACTGTCACCAACTATTAACATTTACTCCTACTTGTTTCCAGTATAAAACAGTTTATTTGAGGAATGATCCTACAAGAGAGCACCTTGGTGTCATCAATACAACTGAGATCAGTGAGAGTCTTTTCATCGTTCTATTTCTGACATGGAAACCAATTGTTTGTCTAAATCACTGTCCCTTATGCTGCTTTAGTGATTGCTGTATGTTGTTAATATTGTTGTTACACTGTCATTTCACCACTACTTCATTACTGGTTAGTACCAGTGCCAGGCACCTCAGATGGCTTCAATTCTTTGGGCTTGCTGGTCTTCTCTGTTGCCTTTGGCCTCATCCTCAGCAGTATGGAGACTAAGGGGAAACCTCTGAGGGATTACTTTACCTGCCTGAATGAAGCCATCATGCGTCTGGTCAACATAGTCATCTGGTAAGAATGGAGGCAAATGTTAGAACGAGCTGCTTGTCTATTCTGTGTTCATTTTCATTTGCACCTCTCTTATTATTCAGTCACATTTTCTCAGTGCTATTCAGATGTCCTGTTGTCCACATCTTTGAGGAAGTACAATTTATTGCCTGGGTGTTTTTTTTTTTTGTTGTTGTTGTTGTTGTTTTTTCATGCTTAAGTGGAACAGTTGACATGAAAATGTGTAAATCTATATATTGTGCCACTGATTAAGCTGACAAGACTCTGACCATATGTTTTCTCTGTGTGCTCTACAGCAGTCCTATGTAATTGCATCCCTCCAGCTGTATCTCACCTCTTTACATGACAGGTATTCCCCAGTGGGAATCCTCTTCCTGCTGGCAGGACAGGTGGTGAAGATGACAGACATAGGACAGCTAGGCCTGCAAGTTGCCATGTATGTTGTTACTGTGATCACTGGCCTGATAATCCACAGCTTCTTCACCTTGCCCCTCATTTATTTAATCGTGACACGTAAGAATCCCTTGAAGTTTATGGCTGGGCTCCTCCAGGCTCTCAGCACTGCCTTTGGGACGTCATCCAGGTGAGTCTTGATGTTAAACATACATTGAACAATGATGGAATGTCTGTGGCTTTAATAATGTTAATGTTCTGGGTTTTGTCACAGTTCTGCAACTCTGCCTGTTACCATCCATTGCATGGAGAGGAATCAGCAGATAGACAAACAAGTGACGCGCTTCATGCTTCCTTTAGGCGCCACAATGAACATGGATGGTGCAGCCCTTTATGAAGCAGTGGCTGCTTTATTCATAGCCCAGGTTAATAACATGGAATTTAACCTGGGACAAATCATTGTTCTCAGGTATGTTCATACAGAAACTTTATCCGTATAAAAAATGAAGTTCTGTTACATATAAATGCGTCTTTAGGAGACTAGACTGATAAATGTCTTTTAAAATATTGTAAATACAAACATTCAGGCTTTTACATTTACACTGTGTGGTAATGTTCTCAGTCCATGCTACATGTGCAGGTGTTCTTTGTTTGGAATCTGCTTGATCCCTGTTTGAGGTATCATGATGATCACACTGTTTTTATGATCACAAGCAATAACTTCCAACATCTTTTTATGAGTTTCTACAGCTTTAACTGATGTACAAAGGAAAAAACACAACTATTATCAGGGTTGAGCAAATATTCAGATTTGCAGTGTATGTCTCCACAAGCATGACCGGTCAAGCTGAAGGCCTCTGTTAATGGGTTCTGCCTGAATTCGTTTAAGCTAAAATTCCTATTACATTACCAAACCCTTACTGTTTCCCTTGTTTAGTTTGATTGTCACAGCTGCAAGCACTGGTGCAGCAGGCATCCCACAGGCTGGCATGGTATCCATGGTGATTGTGTTGGCATCAGCAGGTCTGCCCACTGAGGACATATCATTGCTCATGACTGCTGACTGGATTCTGTAAGTGCACATGCAGCTCTTACCATTTTCACATCTTGATTATAAGCAGATTTGTGGACTGTTTTAGTTTAGGATACTGCAGGCAACAGCTAGAGTTCAACGTAGATGAACACATTCTGTTAATATACTCTTTACAATTAGAGTAATACCAATATATTAAAGGGTAGAAATGACATGTCTTACCTTTTAGATTTAAATGCCAAAAAAACCTGCTCCATGGTTGATTTTAAATACAAAAGTAATTTATGTTACATTTTGAAAGTATGAAGTGGTTTTGGTTGAGTCATGTTCACTCAGAACTAACTGTATGTGTGTTGGCAGGGATCGTCTGAGAACCGCCACCAACGTGCTCGGTGACTGTATCGGTGTTGGTGTGGTGCAGCATCTGTCCAGACACGAACTCAAAGCTCCAGTCCTGCAGGAAACAGCTTGATGGAAGAAAGCTCAAAGTTTTCAGATGCATTTTCAAGGGCTAAGATTCATCTGATGTGTGGTTGTTAAATGGTCACAAAATACCTTTTTGAATGGAAACATGTTTTAGCTTTTTCTGTCTTTAGAAATAAAAAAAAGAAGAAAAGATGTTAGTAGATCACAGATTAGGTAGAGAGCAGATGTTTTTCTCTCTCTGTTGTCTGCACCTGCTCCTGCTGGGGGTGTCATGAGTTGCAACATGTTTTAAAGAATTCTCAGTTCATGATGTGCAGGAGCAATAAACAGCTGATTCCCTGGAGTATTGCAGCTTTAATTTTGAAGCATGAAACGGTGTTCTCTTTATAGATTTAAGAAATTGTTTTAGGGACAAGCAATTAATATGGACTATAAAGGAAATAAACACAGTTTGTGCTTGTTTAGTGTAGCTGATATATATTTTTTCCTTTTTTCCTATAATGCTTACATTTTATTTTTTTAAAAAGTATGTTTGTTTGCTGCTATTTTGTACTGTATTGTAAAAACAGTTCAATGATTGACATCAACAACTATTTTGCGTTATTGCATTTTCTTCTCAGAGTCCGTATTAGTAGCATTGTGAGATGGACTGCATGCCTTTACAGAAACAATGCAAAAGTAGGGGTACTAAATATACAGAGAGTACAAAATATAAGACAGGTGCCACTGAAAGGTCAGACCATGTTTCGGACATGATTAGCGCTGATGTGTTTTTCTTATGGAATACTGTTGCACCATCTAGTGGCAGGAAGGTCAACATGCAAGACAAAGTAAATAAATAAATCAGTGACCCAGTTACGCATTAGCTATGCTTGTAACTGTTGAACACATTATGGTGCTGCATCTTATTGACGTAAATATCAAACTTTTAAGTCTTGAACTGAAACACTGCAGAAAGTTACAGGAGTGCACAATTTTTTTAATACAATGAAACAAAACATAGTCAACATATGGTTCACCTGCTCAACTATTAAAAAGGAGTTCAAGATCAAGAAAAGTCAGAAATTTAAAGCAAGGGAGGTCTTCCTTGCAAGTAAACCTTTACAACTTTATCCTAGTTACTGCAAAAAAAATACATGAAAATAATGCTTTGGAATACAGGCATCTACTCTAAATGTGGCATCTGTCAGCTGTTGCAGATCTGTGCAAAACAAATGCTTTTACCCACAAGTTGGGCGTATTACAGAATTTCAATGTGCAATATGATGCTATGAATAGAAAACTGTAAACATACCAGAAATACATTTTTCACTCAAGCAGTGAATGGAGTAGGACAGGAAGCTGTGGCTGCTCCCTCTGGGAGTTGAGGGCAGTGCCAGAGAGATGCCACTGCGTGTTGACATCGTGCAGAGCTCAGTGCAGCTGTGAGGGGAGAAGGAGAGGGAAAGGAGGGGAAGGAGGGGGAGTGAGCGTCACAGGCAGCAAGCAAGAGAAAAGGAGGGAGAAATAATGTGGAGGAGGGGTTTCATCGAGGGCGAGAGAGGTTATAAGAGATTGTGAGAAAAGGCAAGAGAGAGAGAGAGAGAGAGGCTGTGTGTGTGTGTGAGGGAGGGAGATGCTGTTGCCAGGGAACAACGCTGAAATAGAATCGTCCATCTTTTCAAGCTCGCAGGAGGACAGAAACTCATGTAATGATGTATGCTAAATGGACTGAGGAAAACAGGTGATCCTGACTCGGAGCAGCCTGAAAGAATCAAAGAGAAGGTAGGCAGTTGTGATTACATAACCATCATAACACATACGGCTGACATCAACAGCAGGATTAAAGCCTGGGGTGGGGGCATTAGTGTTGGCAGGGGGGAGGAGGCGGAGGGGGATTCAGCAGAGAGGAGCCGAAGTAAATAGGAGGCCGAGAGCAAGAGAGTGATCATTATGAGACAAGCTGAAAGCACAGGGTGAGGATTATCTTTTGTCCAAAAAGCAACACAGGATCTGAGCGGCAGAGCACACAGAAAAGATGAGAGCAGGATGGTGTCTGCTGCACGATGACTCTGACTCTCCTCATCATTCTCCTGTCTGCAGAAGGACACGACTTCTCTCTCAGCCTCCATTAACAGCGTCAGTAAACAAGAAGGATTTCACAGCAGCCCAGGTACTGAGCACAGAGGTGTCCCACCTGCAGATGTAAACAGTGATGACCCTCACTCAGCAGCTGTAAGGAGGAGGAGGAAGACAGGGGAGCATCCCAAAACAAAACAGGGACGCTTCCAACACGGTGAAGAGGGAGTGTTTGTATTTACAGTATGTGAGTATCCTGCCCTTCATTTTTCTGGTTGCAGATGAATTATGTTGTCTTTCTCAGGGCACAGAGGCAAAGGTGACATTCACTGTTGTGTTTTATTCTGCTGTCGTCTGTGATTGAGCTTGTAAAGGCTTTAACCATTGGATAAATGAAGGTTGACAGTCATGACAGAACAGCTTCTTTACTTTCACTCACAGGTTAATGCCATGGAAACTGTCAATTTCTCAATCAGCTTCTGAATAAGAGTAATCAGACCCATATGATATGATAAAAGCTACTGTTTTACAGTTTTAACATGAAATATCCCATTATTGCTCTTTCTTGTGGTTTGAAGTGGAAAGGAGAATGTTTTAGATCAGAGTCTGATGACAGTTTTAGGGTTATTTGGTCACTGGCAATCAAATCTGATCAAACTACAGAGTCACTTCTCTGATGAGGCAGGTTAGCTGAGGCTTTAAGTCTCAAACTCAATTAGATGGCACCAAAAGATGTTGTTTTTTTTAACTATGATTTGTGCCTTTTTAGTCATTCATAGTGTTGTGAGGAAGATCTGAAGTTTTCTAGCTTTTATCATCACTGTCCTCTTGCCTGTAGAAACAGTCAGTTGAGGAAAAGAAGGCTGCACTCGTGCATCGTGATGTCTGGGTTACCTTTCATCCTCAGTAGATCTATTGGTGCTTTTCTCCAAAGCCATGTAAATATTGTCATAACACAGAGGAGGAAAGAATACTTTGATGCTTATTCAAGTGGAAACTCCACTGCTTCCCTCAAATGTTATTTACTGCATTTCACAGAAAGAGTGTTTGTCAAGAAAATGATGCAGTAAAACTAATGCGTATATCAAGTCTGTATCTTTGAAACAGTACTTTCCATCTCTGATTCACAATTTTAGGAAATAGGTTTGGTAGGCACAATCAAGTCAATAACTCACGAGACAGTGTTGGGAAAATGAAGGCAGCTCTGCCATCTGGACACAAATCCCTACTAAACACGTGCTGCTGCAACATTACTTTGTGTCCATCAATCAGCAGTTCACTGTATGAGCAGCTGAGCCTTAGAAAGAGACATTTGTACAAACAACAAACCACACGCACTGATCATGTGAATCTCTTCCTCTGAGAGCAGAGGAAGGCAGCGTGTGATTAACCCTGAAGGGTCTTAATTAAAGTGCTGTTTAAGGAATTCCTCACAAAGTCTCCATCAAACTCCACAGCGTAAACACTACCTCTTTTATGTATTATTGAAAACCCAGTCACAGCACAGCAGCACCGACAGCACGCAGCTGGAGGGCCTGTGTCCCTTTTAGCCCACATTTGCTGTTTTTTTCCATATGGGCTGGTTATAGCACATCAGTGCCATCCCAGTGGACAAATGGACTGCGGTAACGTCTGCTATAGCATGAACTCTGACTGGGATAGTGACGTAGGAAGCACACTCATCCCCCCAATGTATTTGTGAGACACAAGATTTGCACATGATGTTCACTCTGTGCATGACTTATCCTTGATTGCTTTATTTCTGTCTCTGCCTGGGGATCAGGAAGAAGGCATTTGTGGAATTCTTATTATTGTGAATTGACTGTACAGTACTTATTACCTATAGGTACATTTCTCTTGAGCATTGGAAATTACAGATGTGTTCTGTGTTGTAGAATTCAATTCAATTTAATTTACACAGCGCAATTCACAGCATACGTCATCTCACAGCATTTAACATAGTAAGGTGATGACATCCAACTCACGTTAGAAAAAGATTAAGGTTTTGGCAGGAAAACACATCAACACATGTTGCTGATTTTGAGACTTTAACTACAATTCCTGAAAGATAAAAGTTTTTTCTCCTCTCCTATTTATATACTCCAGACATTTTTATTTACAAAAAAAAAATTGAATTTTAAAAACAATGGTCTAAATTGAAGCAGGAGAGGATGAGATATGCCGATCATTTTTTTGTCCCTACCGTGGGACAAGCACTAAAAACACTGATTCCCACAATTCCCACAATGCAATTAGGTAGTTTCTTTCATTCAAGCCTCTCAGTCTGGTAACCGCCCACGTCTTTCTCCACACCTTCAGTTTGGAGTCAGTTTAAAGTCCGGAGTCAAAATTCACATAATCCAGATGAAATCATCAGCATTCCATAAAATGGGTGGAGTGCATCTCTAATACAGCTACAAGTGTTGTATGTTTTTAAACTTGGTCTCATTCTACATGGCTTGATGAATTATTTTCACTGCTTGTCAACCACAGTGAGCTGAAGCCCGTCCTCCCCGGCAGAGGATGGGTACAGCAGAAGCCACTTTACGCATGGACAGCATGGAGGTGAAGGACGAGTGGCAAGATGAGGACTTCCCCAGGTATTTGTTTGTACGAGTAAGATACGCTGCTTTGACAAACTGCTCAGGCTTTGATGGAGAGTCAGTCACGTGTACGTGTGTGTTGAAGGCGAAAAGGAAGCAGGTGTGTGCTTTCCGGGATGTAGTCATTAGGTGTTACGTGATGAGGTTGTATCATGTCAGTGAACAAAATAGCAGCTTGCAGAGAGAGGAAAAGAGAAGACACAGACGTCATAGTGTCCAGAAATGTAGCCAGACACCCACTCTTTTACTGGCACACATCATTTTTACAGCAGAGGAGGCGAGTTTTTGAAAGATGGGCAGAGAAAGTACTGTAGCAAGAACAATCATGTATTCACATCACATTTACATACAGTACATTCCATAATGTTGTGTTTAATATCTGCTTGCTGCAATACAATGCAAGATGGCGTGAACATGGTTGGTTTAGATGCTGCCAAGAATCACCGGTGCAGGTCTCTCGTGATTGTAAATGAGCTAACAAGGTCAAAAATATCCCAGGATGAAGCCACAAGAATTCAGGTTTTGGAATTAGATTAGAGAAGTGGAATAATCAAGAAAAAGAGAAGAAAAAAAGAAGAAAGAAAGGAAAAATTTGATGTTGGGCTTATTTTTTTCCCATATTTTACCCTCATCCCAACCCTGTATGTTTATTTCTTCTATTTTGAATCTAGTGGCAGACAGTTTAACCTGGAGTCCTAAAGAGACATTTCAGAACGCTTTAACATTTCAAATTGTTTTCTCCTCCCTGCTGTTTAATCCCTTGTTGGTGCAGTCCTTACCTTACCTTTACAAAGCTACTGACAACATAATAACAGCAATTATCCCAGCAGCTCCATCAGCTAGCCCATACTTGTGGCGTTATAGGGTGTGTTTGTCTGTGTATGCATGTCTGTGTTAATGTCTGTGTCCTTCGCTCTCTGTGCATGTGTGTGTGTTGGTATGAACGCTATCGACTGTAATCTAGCCCTGCCGTCCCCCAGCTCTGAGGGTTCAGCTGTCTCATTATAATGTCAGAGGGGAGCTGGTAATTACTGATGTTGCTTTCTCCAACAACAGATATTGTTTCCAAAGGCATAATGTAGTAAGATCACAATGGAGCTTCTCTAAAAACAATGGGCAAAGAGCAAGACTGTAGCAATGACTGCTCATACTTTATAGTTTATCTGCTCTTTTTTTTTTATCATAGCAATTTATTTGAACTGTTATGCTTAAGATGCAATTATAAAACAACCAAAACAGTCATTAACTTGGTATCTGGTAAACATTAGGCCAGGGAGAAACTATATGTATGTCAGTTCGTTTCTAATTTCTTATTGTATTTATGCTCTATATTTATGTCTTTGTCTGAAGGCCGCTGCCAGAAGATGGAGATATTGGTTCATGTGGCCTCACTGACAACAGAACAAGTAGGTGGAATAAACAAACAGCACTAGATTCTATTAGTTCATTTGTTTATTTTACTCCATATTGAATCTGAACTTTCCTGACCTGCTGTTGTAGATCCTCCAACCAGTCTGAATGTCGGGGAGTCCATGGCCCAGCGCAAGCGTCGCACGCTTATTGCCCCAGACATGAACCTGTCTCTGGACCAGAGCGAAGGGTCGGTGCTCTCTGATGACTTCCTGGAGACGCCCGACGACCTGGACATCAACGTTGATGACATCGAGACTCCTGATGAGACCGACTCGCTGGAGTTCATCAACAATGGCAACGAGCTGGAGTGGGAAGGTCAGACAGACATCCACTGCTGTTAAAACCAGTAATGAAGGGTTTAAAACTTACTGGATGCATGTTAGAATTTATTCGAGATGTAAATCATTTCTGTCCTGCCTCACTGAAAACCCAGAGTTTAAAATTTACACCTAACCTGCACAGATAACTAAAACTAGAGTATGTTAATCTTGTCAACAGTATTTATTGCAGGGATTTTATGTCTTAGAAAACAAAACATTGCTAAGGATTCCTTTTATTTTTTCAAAAACCTGAAAGTACAGTCTGTGATAACATCATAGTTTTTTTTCTAAGAATAATATTGGGGAAGCTGCGCTAAACATCCATTCATCCATCCATTATCTATACACCGCTTAATCCTCATTAGGGTCACGGGGCTGTGCTAAACAATCATGATCAAAGTTTCATTAGTTCAATTCTGCTCGCTGCTACTGACTGTGAATTGTATTGATGTTTTACAGTAGTCAGTGAAGCAAAGTTTCAGTTCTCTGACTATAATCCGGCTAATGCAGATTTCATGTGATTTCATAAATGTAAAAGTAAAAGTGAGCAGTCTAAGCAGACACTTTGTGTTGTCGATTTGTTTTCAGATGACACTCCTGTTGCCACTGCTAAGCGTCTTCCAGGTGAAAGTGAAGAGGAGAGAGACTCATCTGGTCGTCTGTGGCGAACGGTGATCATCGGCGACCAGGAGCAACGGATCGATATGCAAGTCATCAGACCGTACCTGAGGGTGGTCACACATGGAGGTTAGTTTGAGTTAATTCAAAATGGGTTCAAAAAGCCAACTTCCCAATATTTAAGGAAAGAAGAGTGCACGTGCATTTACAAATATATTATGTATTGTAAACCTGTGTCCCTGTGCATGTCTTACCTGAGGTAGTCACTTCATACCTCAGAGTTGGTTGGAACTTTTTGCTGGTTGCAGGTTAAACAGATGAAATCCAGAATGACATTTTAATCTCCTAAGTTATGAACATAGCAAACAAAACAAATAAGACTTCTGTTCTAATAGATTAAAGAGTGCAAACTGCATTTGCTGAATATTTGCTCATCCTGTAAGCCTCTGAAGCAGCAGTCAGACTATCAAAGAACATTAAGCCCCAGTCATCACCATGTCACAACCAGAACACCAAGATATTTATTTCCACTTTGAAAAAAACAATACTTTAATAACACAGTTGATGGCATGACTGGTTGATTTCATAGCTTGCCACTACTTTTGCAGTAAACGTGTGTCTCTCTCCTCTCAGGTTACTATGGTGAGGGACTGAATGCCATCATAGTGTTTGCAGCCTGCCACCTGCCTGACAGCAGCTGTGAGGACTACACATACATCATGGAGAATCTTTTTCTGTAATACATTTTCTTATTTCCTTTACAGTAGCAGGCTTTCATAGGATCCTACTTTATTTCACATCATTTTTTCACTGCATAATTAATCAAAGGACATCCATCTATTCATTATCTGTACTCACTTTATTCTATCAAACAACACTGGAGGAGGAAATGTTTCTGTTTAGTCAGTGTAAACCCTCCTTATTTTGACCTTTCAGAATTTGAACAGAAAAAATTCATTGTAGTTGAAATTCAGTGGGGCTGCAAGGTTGCTCTGTGGTTAGCACCGTTGCCTCGCAGCAAGAAGGTCGCCAGTTCGCACCCTGGTGAGAACACCTGGGATCT